TGAACATATTATGACGTTTAAATGTAAGCAACAGATCTAATAGGTACTAACAAAAAATAGTTCAACATTTAAAGTTATTTTATAATAGCATATTCTGTTATTTTTGTTGCATTTTCGGTATTTTTAAGGGGCCTCGCTTTTTCCGTCTATTTTAGTGCAAAATACCGTATTTAGTTTTGACAAATATAAAGTTAGTTTACGTTGCCTTATTTTGATTTTGAAAAAAAATTTGAAAATTATCTACAGTTCGTACCGGACACTCTGTAAAATTTAAAATCTTATATCATTGAGAACTGTGATTGAAAAGTTGAAAATATGAGTTTTTTAAAATCATAAAATTAAAATTAAAATTCATATTAAATAAAGAAAGCGTGTTTCGTACGATCTTAGACACATTTTTCTGCTGAATTAAAATATTTTTTGTAGAATCAATTTCACACAACGTTAACTAACTTAATTTTTTCCAAACAATAAGTACGTTGTCCTAAGATTCGTATAGTGATAAAAAAAGTTAAAGATTATTTACGTGTACACACGAGTATGAGACCGTATTATATAGTGAACTGTATTGCATTTCATTCTCACTAATAATCATTTTCAACTAACACATAGATCCCGAAATAAAAAAAATTAACTAAATATTTCTCTTCAATAATATACGTAGCAAGGACCCTTGAAATTATTTATCTTTTGAAACTATTTATGTTTAAATGAAGGTACTCTAACCATATTAACAAATATTATACATATAACATTTAGTAAACGTAATAATTTGAGTAGTCGTTTTTATTGATATTTCAATAATTAATAACCGTAAAGACTTGCAGCTTTCACCAAACATTTATTTTAGTATTTTCGAGACATTATAATTTACCATTTACACAATATTGTGGCTTGCTTTGAGTTATTTATAAACATTTGATGTTTTCGACTGTTTTTAGTTTATTTTGATAAAAAGTTTTCTTAGTAGATAGTACAAGGTTCTTACAGCTATTCTTACAGTAAATAAAAAATATAAAAATAAGCAGGTAGTCTTATATTTGTTTTAATTTTTTCAAAGATTTTAGATTTTGAACGGAGCGAAATAATGTATTGATTTAATAATAACGTGGGTTTTTCATTTATTTTTTTTCTGTCTGTCAGCAACATTTTGGGTAGTAAGAATACTCAGATTTTCGAAAACAGCCTATTTTCTGATAGAAAAGTGAATCTAGTTGGTACGTTTGAGGGGTCATTTTAGAAAGCGTCTTTTATTTTCATGGATAACATAAGACATTTTGATAGAAGACTAGCCACAAATATTCCTACAAAAAAAAAAGTTGATTTAAAATTACATAACATTAATTTTTTATGAGCGTTTGAATTAAAATTTTACAATATTGAATATTCATCGGAAAATAATTAATGAATTTTTGACATTTTGTTTTAATTCAAAAACAAATAATACTAGATACCTACTTGAAATTTTTTCAAATGTTTAAACAACTATTTTCAATAAATGGTAATATTTTCAAAAAATGTTGACTCTCTTTGAACTATTTTAATCAATTTGAAATTTTGAAAATTATTTTTCAATTAGAAAATTATAAAAGTTTTTCTTTTCATATTAAAAATTAAACATTTTATTTGAAGATTTCACATCAGTTTTCCTACCTCCATCAAAAAAAATTCACCAGAAAGTCAACCAATTTATAGCTATGAGATATTTTAGATTTTTATAAAAACAATTTTTAACTATTAAATTTGATTATTTATACATGTATTCTAGGCTGACACAACGTCTCCGTTCAGAATCTTTTTTCGTATATAATAATTTATCATTAAATTCAAATATAATACACCCATTACAATGACATGATCGACAACTACTTTACAGCAGAGCAGTAACCACTAACCACTTGTCCACCTTTTATTGTTTACACTGTTCTTATTTTTATTTAAATGACTGAACTGGTTTTTAAATATCTAAAAATAAATCATAATAATTATGTGATTACTATTTTTCAAAAATACTAGGTTTGTAAATTTTCTCATTCTTAAGATTTTTCAAACTTTTTTTTATTTAATAAAAGCTTTTATATCAGCTAACGCTATCTACTGTAGAAACTAGAAGCTTAAACTATTTCAATGTAGAAGAATAGGAGATTACCTTTTACTCACGATATGGACAAATTAGATTATAATATGTACATCGTGCTTTTACTTGTTGGAGTTAATGTAATATTACTGTACATTTTAAGCTGACCACATTATTAATTTATTATTCTCATACGCTAACGCTACCATTGTTAATATGGCAATAAACACATTTTATATGAATAAAATGAAGATGTTCAGTGGGGCCCATTATCTTCCTGAAGAATAAATAAAAAAAATATATTTTCTTTTCTTTGTACACATATTTTGAATACTTGACATAATTATTATATAAAAATTATAATAATATGTACTATTATATTGCATTAAATATTAATATCACGAAGGATATACAGGCCATTATTATGGTTTAGAACTGTATTAAAGGAGATTACATTTGGCCTTTTAAATTTTAATATAAAAAAGTGAGTAAATGGATGTCCCTCTGCTGTCATAGTATGTTGTAAGTAGGTCACTGTAATGGATGTTGTTAAATTTTAATTCATTGCTATAAAATTATTGTATACGAAAAATCATTCTGAGCGAAGATGTTCCATCAGCCTATAATATTAGGTACTAAGTAAGTGTATTTTATCACATTATTGCTATTAAAGTAATTAATTTTAATATTGGGAATTAGTACAGTATCTAAAATAGTAGGTTGAATTAATCTTTGTCAAAAAAATTACACTTGAACATGTCTTGTGTGTATAAAATAAAATAATAAACTATAAATTATATATAGATATATAGTTATATATATTTATAAATAATATTTTTAAATTACAACAAAACAACTAAAATCGTTATTTTTGTATTTAATATGTAGGTAATTTCGTCTAAGTTTGAATTTAAAATGTCGGTAAATAATAACTATGTTTAATATTTATACATTTATTAGATTTTTAGTTACGCAGTATGAACTATTTATGCGAGAATCTTTGTTTTACATTTTCAATTCTTAGCTATAAAAATTGAACATTTTCTAATTTATTAATAACGAAAAATGATAGATTTTGTGATTTTGATAAATGTTGGCAACATTTTAACTTTAAATACTTATAAAAAAAAAATCATATCTATGGATGTAATATTTATTAACTGTTATTATAACAACTAATAAGGAATCTTAAAGCTCAAGTTTTTTAACCTAGCAAATAAAAATATGTTACTAACGTTTATAGAATACAAAACAAAAACAATTGAAAATTTCAAATGTTTATAAACAATTCAAAACTAGCCGAAATATTTTGAATAACCTATGGTTATTAGTTTATGAATAACGACAAAATAAGAAAATCCTTATCTGAAGAAAATCCCAGAATTAGTTTATTTACGGATGAATATCCAAAGACTAGCTTAAGAAGCTCGTAAAAAAATTAATTAACTTTCCAGTAAACTAATTTATATGTAGCAAAACTTAACTGGAATCTTATATTATATTTTCGAAGTTTAGATAAAAATAGAAAAATATTGTATGAAATTCTAACTTCATAGAATTTTCGTGATTTTTAGAAATTTTATCAACATTTTAACTTTAGATGCTCATAAAAAAATATTGTGGATTTATGCCAAACTTTGTTTTAATTTCTACTAATTCCAACTTACAGGAAACGTTTTATTACATTTTCAAGTTTTTTGACTGAATGAAAAATGTTGTGTATCGACATAGTTAAAAAAAAACTTGAATTTTTTTATGCCTATAAAATATAAATAGCTCAAAAAGAGTCACAATATTTCGAAAATTGTACAGAAATTCTAATATAAATATTTAGTGAAAATTTCATCCATATTCTATAATTTGTTTTTATTTTTTAGAGTTACACTATAAACCAAAATACACTCTTTCGAAAACGGGTTCTGCATAAAAATGTCAGTTTTTCTTTAATTATTTTTATTGATTTTCTTGACGCTTTGACAACTTTTGTAAATTTTTTACTTGCCTACTAGATTCAATTTTCTACCAGAAAAGATACTGTTGACGAAAATTGAAGCATATTTTGTACTGTCCCAAAATGTTATGACAGATGCAAATAAAAAAAAAACTCACATCATTGTAAAGTCAATGCATTCATTGATCCGCTCAGAATCTAATAAACGTCAACTACAATATATTATGTTATACAACTTAACCTTACCTTAACGAAGCGAAAATATTTTTATAACAACTATTAGGTAATTAAATGTATGAATGTAGCTGTGGATTATTTTGATGAATTATTATTTTTTTATCAATGCATTAAAATATGTTATAATGTGTGTGTATGTGTAGTATTTTTAATCTTAATGCATTAGGTGTCTACTGTTTATACAATATACATAATATTACGTATATACTATGTAATCATAATTTAATGTAGGGGATAAATTATATTCCAGCTGGATATAATTTAAACAGGTACCTACTACCTATATTGGGCTACATGTAATAATATGTAGTTCACCAAATCATAGAAACAAAAGATAATACCCGTATTCCCATTACCTACCGCATACGTTTGTATAATAATATAACTATACTATCACTGCAGAAGTATTAGGTAAACGTTTATACGAATTGTGTTTAAAGTTAAAGAGGTTTAGCCATGGGGAGTATTTTGGTGTTGTAATACCTCCCTCGGAACGTATGTATTTATAGAAAAAAAAATATTTAATAAGTGTCTCAAATATATAAAATATATGTCAAAATATTATGATTCATTTTTTAATAGATATTAATAAATTGATCGCTACATCGGAGTGTGTGTGAACCCACTACAAGTTATACTTAAATTTAAATATAAAACACACCCCTAAAATAATGCTAGCTACGCGCCTGACTTTATAGTTATATTTGTTTCATTCGTCCTTTTTTTTTTTTAAAGCAACATCGTGACATCGCCAACAGACCGTCGTTTGTGCACGTTGATGACGAAGACTACTCAATACAGCAGCCGCCTCACAAGCTTTCAGCTGTCCAGCAGACACACATACTCGACGACATTCGTCGGCATAATCAAGAACAGCAGTGGTGGACGGCTCCCGGAACAGCCTCGACTTCACCGTCGTCGACAGCGAACATCCCGGTGGAGGACAATAGCGATCAGCACCAGGATTCGGCGGCTGTGGTTGACCAATTGCAGCAACTATTGCAGATCAATGGAGTGGCCGCAGACGATGACGATGTAGCCGCAGACAACCCGGACGACGACCGTCATGGTAAGCAGAGGTCCATCAGCGGTGGAGGCGGTGCAAGTGTTGGTTGGCAACCACAGTCACCGCAGCAGTACAACAACCACAACAGACAGCAGCAACCATCCTTATCGCCTCCGGTGACAACAGCTTCATACAGCCATCAGCACAGCCACAACCAGAATCAACAACAACAGCATCAATACTATCCTACGACGTTGGCGGGTCCTACCATACAACAGCAACATCACCACCAACATCACGTCCATCGTCCACAGAAGCAGCAGCAGATCTTCGTAACGACGCCTCCGTCGTCCGTGGTTTCCACCACGTCCAACAACAACTTGCAGCGGCACGTCCACCAGCACCAGCAGTACATACCACTGCAGGGCGCGCAGCCTGTACAGCAACCACAACCACAGTATTACCCCCAACCACAGCCACCGGCGCTGCAGGTTCCTGTGGCCGTCAATATCGGAGACAGCGATAACGATGATCACAGAGGTGGTGGCGGGTTGGACGCGGATATCGAACAGCAAATCCGCCAGCAGTTGACAGCAGTCGTGGGTGCCGGTGGAGGAAATTACACGATACTGACTTCGGCCGGTGGAGATGGCGGTGTTAACCATCGGTTAACACAGCATGTAACCGGATCGGCGTCCAACGACAACGTTCAGTACGTGAAAATCGGTGGTGGGGGTTCAGGTACCGGTTCATCACCATCGCGGAATCGGTTACAGCAACAGCAACCGACGGATACGAGTACAATTTTCGCTGGTGCAGCATCACCCAATGTGGGAGGTACCGGCAACACAGCCGGTGGTGGCCGAAACACGATCGTCAAAACAGTTGTAATCCGGCAGAAGCCGCAGCCCACGACCGCCCCTCCAGCCGTCGTACCGCCAACATCCGCTGTTATGAGTACGGCTCCCTCGCAGCCCTGGACGGTTAGCGAACAGCAGCAACTAGAACAGCTGGCCCGGCAAGTGCTGCCCCCCGGCGTCGCACAGTATGAAATCATACGCGCGGGCGGTGTCGACGGAAGTGCCGCCGCCAAGAGTGGCGGAGACGCAGCGACCGCGGCCACGGTTGACAGCAGCGCGGCGTTCATGACCGGTGGCGGAGAGCAACCGCCTGTTCTAGCTGGTGGCAAGAAGAAACCTGTGACGTTCGTCATCCTGGAGGAACGACCTGACGGCACCGTGCGTGTACGTGGGATCGAGAAAAAGCAGCACGGAGGTGACCCGTCCGACGGCAGCAACGCCGTGGCCGACGTTGCGGGAACGTCTGCGGTAGCCGACGATGAACAACTCCAGCAGTTGGTGGACAGGCTGAACCGGGGTGAGCTCCGTCTGCCGTCGGGTGGCTCACCAACACCGTCGTCCAAGATTACCGCACTGGACAGCGCGGCGGTAGCCAGCACCACTGCCTCGACTCCGCTTCCGGCATACGTTCCGCCGTTCCCATCCACCGTACTGCCACAGTCAACATCGCCGACCGGCGGTATCGGTGTCAGCACGAACAAGCGCCGTGAACCACCCCCGCCGTCGTACATTCCTACCAAAGCACCGCAAACAACTACCACCGCACTACATCAGCACCAATACCAAAACTTTTTCCTCCCTACCGCCGTACCGACCGAAGCAGTGGCCGTCGCTACTACTACCGGACAACAACATCATCAGCAACAGCAGAACAAGTACCACAACCACCACCACCATCACCAGCAGCAGCACCAACAGCAACAACAACAACAACAACAACAGCAACAGTTTTATACACCGCCGACAATTACCACGTCTTCGTCTTACACGACACCGCTGGTAAACTCGACCATGTCATACTTCAACAACAACAACAACAACAACAACAAAGCCGTGAAAGAAGGCATGTTTAGTGGTGCTCTTCGCCGCCGTGGCTATTATGCAATGGCCAAATACATGCGACAAGCTGGTGTGGACGCAGTACTCGAAGAAACAGGTACTTATACATATTTTTATTTTATTTCCACACTTCCTATACCTAATTTAAGTTCTTAAACTTACTTTGAACTTGAGTAATTTACACCAACCTAATAATAAAAAAAAACTATTTATAAATTTAAAGTATCTCACGCCTTCAAAACATAAATATTTGTATAGGTACCTAAGATTCTAAAAAAAATGTATCCCTACATCAAGTTGCCGGCCCCTATCTTGTTATTCTCATAACATGATTTAACAAGAGCTGCTATAGTTGCCATTATTTTTTAACAACATTTTTTACGTTTTATAGGCCCGTTAACTGTATTTGTGCCAACTGACAAGGCATTCAGAGCCCTATTAGTGCAGTTGGGTGGCCCCGATCGTGCTGAGGACAAGTTCCGTGAAAACCCACGTTTGCTGATTGGGGTAATTATATTTACTTTAATATTATGATGAATGTATAACACTAATCACCGTATTGGTAATGTAAGGATAAAATTATTGATTTTCCTTTAATAATTCCATTTTTTTTACAAAAGCTTTTATTGCATCATGTCGTGCCTGGAGCATTCAGGGTGTCTGACTTGATGGCAGGAGACGAAATGACCGGCGTTAGTTTAGCAGGCACACAACTCCGTGCGAATCTGTACGCCCGACAGCTGTACGATAACCGATGGAACGACATAGAAGTGATTATACCTAAATTTAATTATTAATAAGGGGGTTTTAATAATTGTCTGATTTTGAGAAGTTCAATATGACTTTATAATACGCGTAAGACCCACAACTTTTGAGAGTACATGCTCATACAATCGTGCTTCAATCAAGCAGATAACGTTTTTCTTTTTGATAAAAGTATGACATTTTTTATATCATGGCTGTTGATTTTTACATCTAATAAGACTTATTAAATTAAACTTAAACTTCTCAACAATCTTACTTTATATTTACTTTTCCTTTTTAATTTCTTTTTATTTAACCCTTCAATTCTAATGAAATAGATACCTCTAATGTTTCTTATTTTGTAATTTTAAATAATACTGTTAAGAAAATATTTATATAAAGTTAAGATGTTGATAAATTCAAATCAGATGTTTTAGAAATAAGTATATTTTAAACTTATATTAATCATCACAAAGAACTGCCAATCGTAATTATTTTATACGCGGTAAGTGGCCTATACAGTCTACATGTACGTCACTAGTCACTATACTCACTACTCAGTGATCACCAATTCAGTATTCCTAAATACCAGCAGCCGGTAAAACTAAATTACCTATCACAAAAAATGTTCATTTAGTACTATTTTTTAAAACTTTATTTAGAAAGTTTTATTTTGGAAACTAATTGAATAGCGTAAATTTCAAATATTAAAACATTTGTATACAATAAGTTTTTAACATTTAATCAAGATGGCCATTTTGAACAGCTTAAAAAAATAAATATATTTAAATTAAATGAAAATCAACCAAGTTAAAGCGAATAAAAAATAAAAAAATTGCATGTTAAAAATAAAGAAATACGTCTTTTGTCGTTTAAACGAAATTCTATGTCATCGATCCATAATCGTTAAAAACTCCCGCGTACAATGACATAAGATATACACCCTGTATATATTATATTATATTAACAAATGGAAATCTCCGTGGAATCATTTGAATTCGATGTCACGGTTGATTATCAGAGATAGTCTCCTAACCATTATTTAAAAATTGTTTTTTAGGTGCTCACTGTCAATGGTGCCCGAGTGTTGGACGACGTCAACCCAACTGCGTCTGCCGCGGTTAACGATGGTTCTACTTCCGACGACGGTAGCGGCGGGTCCACGCAACAGCGTAGGGACATGGTGTTGTCGTCAAACGGAGGCTCAGGAGGAAGCAATCAACAACAGATCATGGCTATAGGGCATGCAGTTGACCGCGTATTATTCCCACTGCCTGTCGGTGACGTACTCGCCACCATGAGAGCCGACCGGCAGCGACGGTACAACGTCTTTTTGCGAGCCGTGGACGAGCACTGTTCGCCTAACGTGCGATCGCTACTCACTGGTAATATATTATTTTTTTATCGTTACTGTATATATTATATTTTGGTAGGTAAAGAGTATTGACGAGAACGCATTTGTGATGTATTGATGTATCACGCGGGAAATGGTTTCCCGGGAAGTATATTTTAACAATACATTAAATCGATATTATACTAACCTACTTATTATATTATTTTCTAAATTCCGATTACAATTTATTATATGTTATAAAGGTTCAAGAACTGTGACGGTGTTTGCGCCTGTAGATGAAGCGTTCCGCGTACGTCGCGGCTCGGGAAATTATAGCACGAGTAGCAGCAGTGGTTCAATAGTCGATTGGATGCTTCACGAGGACACCAGTAGCAGATTCAAAAAACGAAATCGTCGGCGGATTGCTGACCGGTTCGTGCTCAGCCACGTGGTGTTGGCAGGACCAGGGGATCCCCCCATGTACACAGCCGGATTGCGATTTTACCAGGTCAGGGACACTGCGTATCGGCTTCCGGAAGGTGGTGATTCTGCAGCTGTGGCGGAAGAGGACGACGAAGGTGCAGCGGAAGACTTCAACGGTGGTGGAGACGATGGAAATTTAACGGTTTCGCCGAATGACGGTGAAAAATCACGTTTCTATCAGTTAACCGTGTACAAGGATTCGGGTGAGTTTTATTATATTTTAATAGTTAAAATAATGACACATTCACATACCTACCTAAATGTCTAAATACCTAATATAATAGTATTTTGAAAACAGTTGCTCTTAGTGTTGTAGCGAGTAAGGAATTTAATATGTTAGGTAAATAATTTATAATATAATACATACAATATAGATAAATTTTTATCATAATTTAAAGAAAACTAACCACATATTTTCAAATCTAAGCCTAGCATAATAAATTACTTACCTAATTGGTTAGGTACGCTTGAAAGTTCAACAGTTAATTAATAATTATTTTCCGGTAATACACTATAGGGTTTCAAATTAAATCGATGTTGGTTAAATAGTATAATCTGTGTTGTTGATTGCATTTGTACAATAAAATTATTATTATTGATTTTAGGCAGGATACGGCTGAACGGTGGTGCCGCTCAGGTGTTGGTCCGCAACGTTCCGGCTACGAATGGCGTACTTCATGGACTGGATGCACCACTAGTCTGACGACTTCCCGAAGAATGGTGGACATGATTGGCTGACGACAAAGTCAGCAGTGCAGGACACCTGTATACAACGACGGCAGCCGCTATCGCGTGCCCGTTTTTATTTATTAATTATTATTATTTTATAATTTATGTTATATATAGGTATTATATATTTTTTTACATTTTCCGTTTTGTATACACTATTGCAGTAGGCTTCCTACACACTATTACTGTAATTCTTTTCAAGTGTATTGTACACGTTTTAATAATATTTGATATTAATGTAATATGAGTATTAATATAGAGTGTTAATATACATGAGGGTCCATAATATTATATATTATTTACTCCTGAGTATATAATTTTATGTTTACTGGTTGTTTTTATCCCCAACTAGTTTATTATGTTGTTCCTAATAATTCACACTTATAGTATAATTGAATTGGTAACCTACTCATTTTAGTTTAGCATTATCAGAGGCGCCTAATTTTTGGAAAACATAGAGTAGTTATGTAAAGCCCGATACTCTATGGTGTTAAACAATAGGTATAATAAGAATTAAGTCGTTCAGATCACGCTATAGTGTTCAGCCAAATTTTTTTCTCCGCCTAACTAGATCTACGAGTGCGTACGAAATGCTAATAAACTATATGTATTCACCATATTATACATTTTCACTAATTACCTAAAATGTGGTACTCATAGATTCGTGAGGTAGAATTCCGGCCTCAGGGGATCAATTAGTCCAAACGTCCAGTGTAGTTGCGTGCTCAGCTTTTTCCTATGGAAGGGGATGAACAGATACAAACACTACATTTTTTTTTAAGTAAACCGATATTATCGAAGAACTATAAATTACGCATAAAAAAAAGTAATGACCCCCCCCCCCGTGAGCACGCCCCCTGGTCCAGTGTTGTGAAAAGATATTTAATATTTAGTATTCAAATTTAGATTGCATATACTGTTTAAATATATCTTATATATAAAAAAACCCGGACTGAGTACAATTCTCTGAAGCCTTTACAGACAATTTCCATGTCATAGCCTAATACCCTTACATTCTGAGGTAATTTAATGTAATTCACTCTTAATCCAATCTAAACTACATATTTTCACATCAAAACTAGGCAAAATTCTAATAACTTTTATATTGTGTGTTGTCAAACTCTTTCACAAGATCTAGAAAATTGTCCAAAACTTTTATTCCATTATCAAGTGTATAATAAATGTAGATAGTGGCACTTAAATAGCCTATTCGGTACCTAAGCTTGTACTTGTATTTTGTATATTTTAATCGCAGTTATCTCTTTAATTATGGTATTTTAGGTTAATTAGGTACTTCAGTACTTGCAATTGTTATTTATGTTCTCTATTATTTTATAGTCATCAAATATTAACTAATGCGATTCTTTTTTTCTTTAATTAATCACTTAAAAAGACTAGTAGTAGTGGCTATTATATTATATGACGAAAGGAAAGAAAAAATATATAAATAAGATGTAGATGGACAAATTATTATTTTAAAGAAATATTATCATGTACTGTTTTATGGAAATACAATTAATAATATAATACATATTATGTTGACAATGGGTACACATTTGTGTAATATGCATTTATACAAATTGTAATATATTAATGTGTTTTTTAGCATTGGTGAATTATAATTTATAAGTTGTAAAACTCAGAGGCGCCGACTTTTAGATATTAGCACGGGGGCAAACTCTTCTATTAAGCGAAAAAAATTCTATAGTATTAGTATGCTGTAGTTTGCTTACCCAGAGGAGTAATTACAAAATTGTCCCTTAACTCTATTTTAATACTCCTCTAGGGTGCAAAATAAAATATTATGCATGTATATTATTTAAATTTTCTTTATTGCTTTTATTTTATTAAAATTATTTACATGAAAAAGTCGAGCAATTTATAGTATTTATAGATCATATTTAGGTAATATACAAATATACAATCGTCGATGTTCTAATGAATATTTTCATGTTATAATTTGGTGTTTTAACCAAATAATTATTATTGTACACAACGGGGCACGGGGGCGAAATAATACTTTTGCTCCCGTTAAATCAATGTACGGGGGCGATCGCCCCCTTTGCCCCCGTGGAGTCGGCGCCTATGGTAAAGCTAATTTTGCTATCGAATAATTCATCGACAGTTCCGGTTCTAGAGGGGAGGGGCAAGTGGGTACCCTTGCAAAGGCAGCCGTTGGTATAGCTTCATACAAATGCAGTTAAAATCAAAATATATAAAAAATAAACATATTAGGTAGGTTACCTATTATATTATACAAATAAAAACAAAATATGTTGTTTAAAAAAATCACTTTTGTGTTGGTAAATATATATATGACATTAATTTTTGGCAATGTATTCATATTTTTAGTATATATATCATAATTTGCAAAATTCAAATAATTTAGATTTTTAATAGCAAAGAAACTAAAAAAAGAAACTGTAAAAAATATTTTTAAACATACCTTTGGTTTGAATAGACTTCTGAGTCTATTAAAATGTTAGTATAGTGTAGTACACACCAAAAAATATTATAGTGTAGTACTTGAGAATAGCACCTAGTAGTTGGATACGCCGGTTGGTATAAGATATATTATTATTATTATTTTTACCATTATTCTATACTCCCGGTAACCGTCTAGAGGAGGAGCAAGTGGGATTTATAATGTACAGTGTATTTGTGTATACATTTGTATATTATTATATGTGGACTCATTAATGGTTTTTAATTATTATGTTTGTTTTTGTTTACTTTTCTTCGTCCGAGTCTTATTCCTGACGGCTTTCTGATGAACCCTTTTTTTCTACCTAAAATATGTTGCTAGTTTTATTATTTAAGTATTCATTGTTCCGAATTATACTAAAAAAATCCACGTCGCTCTGGCCTCACCAGATCTCAGTGCGTTATTGGCGACCTTACATATATCCTCGTCAGGTGACACTATTTGACGAACCTGTAGCCATCTATGTCTGCGTGATGTCACGCTTTAAACTTTTTAAAATGTTTTCTACCAACTTAACTCAATTAACAATTATCATTAACTTGCTTATTGATTCTTATTCAAACACTTTGTTTTGTGTTGAAAACCAACGTCATCCACTTATATGTATTAGCCCTCCATTTTTGTTAGCTCCGTGTGTCAACTTACCTAGATCCGTTATTGTTCATTGAAATTGTTGATGGTTTGAAAAAAATATAATAGGTAAGCAGAAATATATTTATATATATTTTTTAAAACAAAGTAGGTGCCTTCTCAATCCAAGCACTGAATGATAACTAATTCTGCTGCAAAGTGTAGTTGTACTAGTTAAATACCAAAGGAATAGTGATGGGCAAGGAACAAAGTTACAGCTAAACTATAATGTATTATTTTATCATTTATTAATTCAAATAAAATTGTACGTGCAGACATCATTAAAATAAAAAAAAATAATCAAAAATCGATAAAATATGAAAAATAATACTACAATGATACACCGGAATATTAAATATAGATAGTACACAAGACTCAAAGAGATAAATATTTTATACATGTTTGTAAAAAAAAAAAATATTAATCAATTACTACAAAGTTAATACTATAAGTTATAGTTAATTAACTCTTTGATTCTACTGTTAGTGATACACTATATAATTTTCACAATAATAACTTTTATGTTGTTTTTTTTTAAATCTTACCACAATTATTTGAGCTGCACGCTTTTACAAAAATCAAACGATGATAATAAATAATAATTATAATTATATTATCAATTATTAATTCTAATAAAAAAAAAAGTAACACTAGAAGTAGGTAATATTATGTAGTCATATTTAGATATTAAAATAAAATACAGAAAAAAAATACCAGTACGTTTAATAAATACACTGGTTAAATAGACAAACCATTTCTAAATATGCCATACGGTATAATACATAACCCGGGTGTCTATTAAATAATTTGTACTTAGTTACTTTCACAATAACCTAGGTTGTATAAAATCTTCACCTGTTCATTTAATCGAAAATCATTAAATTTTAATGTTCAATTGTCATATTATATAAAATTAAAATGTTTAAAACCAATCATAGTGAATGTTCAGCAATATAATTTTTAAGATGTCATAAAATAAATAAATAATTTCTTGGGTCAACATTTTTATGCAGATTATATCAGTACCAATTAAAACAACTTATAAATTTTTAATGAAACATTATTTAAAGCAACTATTGTCAAATAGAATAATTTATATATTATAATTATTTAACTGATATTGGTCTTTTATTATTAAAAAAAAAATCTTTATATTTATCTTTGTACCTTTAAATACAAAGTTTTCGAAATAGTGGTTTTGTGAGCAATAAAAAATAAAATAATTTTGGCTATGAAACAAGAAATGGATTGATAGTGAATTAAGGGAATTTTGTTATAATGTTACAATTATTTAAAAGTTATAGGGTGAATACAATATGAATGAGCGAAGAATTAATTGGTCCATTTAATAATAAAATTACCAATACAATCAAATAATAATAATATCGGCCATAACGATAATTTTACCATAATTAATTATTATTAAATTTAATATGAATAAAGTAAAACTAAAATGAAAACTAGACTAAAGGACTTAAATGCATATAAATAGGTTCATGAAAAAAAACCGTATCCCGAATAAGTTACACATCTAATATTATTCTAATCCACTATGTCATGCTTATAATTTCAACCAGGGTGAAACCTTAGCCATAACTTTGAACTCTAGACTAAAAATATAATAAACGTAGTAACTTAAAAATACTTAGCATGCGACAATTATTTTTTACGCTGTACGAGTGTTATGACAAATAATAAAATAATATTAATAATCATTACAAGGTTTGGAATTTATTACCAACGATGAATCATACAATATTATATTTTCCTTTTTAAATTTATACGATAATATTAAATTTAAATATAATTTTACGAATTAAATAATGTCTAAACGAGCTGATGTGGAAAGTAGTAGCGACCACACTATAATCAAATAATAATAATATTGGACTTAACGATATTTTAACTATAATTAATAATTATTAAATTTAATACGAATAAAGTAAAAAATAAAATGAAAACTAATCCATTGCATTATGCTTTAAGCGAAGGCGAAACCTTAGCCATCAATTATAACTCTAGACTAAAAATGTGATAAACATAGTAACTTAAAAAGACTTAGCATTTATTTTTTAAGCTGAACGAGTGTTATGACAAATAATAAAATAATATTAATAATTATTACACGTTTTGGAATTTTTCGTCAACGATAAATCATATCATATTATTTTTTCTTATTCATATTTTTACGGTAATATTAAATTTAAATATAATTTTACGAATTAAATAATGTCTAAACGAGCTGATGTGGAAAATTGTAGCATTGGCCACAACACTATAATCATCTTAAGTAATATTGAACTTAACCATAATTTAACCATAATTAATTATTGTTCAATTTAATATGAATAAAGTAAAAAATAAAATTAAAACTAAGCTAAAGGACTTACACATGCGCTGTATGGTAGATATATATGAGGATATTATGAAAAAATCCTATACGAGGGCACACTTGTAGTCTACCTACCAAATGGATAAAAGTGACCAAAAATGACCTAAAAGCCAGTCCGAAACCTTTGATAAAATTTTAAACTCTAGACTAAAATAATATGACATAGGTACTACCCAATTAGACACAACTACTAACTAACCAATTATACATACTCTATTCAGATTAAGAACATACCAGGCGGCCATGGTCAAAACCAGTCTTGCTAGGTAAATCTGGTTTGATCTTATTCTGAATAGACTAGACACAATAATACCTGATAAATTTAATAACCTAATATGTAAATTAAGATTATACTTATATTTATACTTAAACTATCGAGCGGGCGTGTACATGCAACTGTTGTAACTTGTAATACCCGACTAACAACTAGGAGCATGTACATCAAAAAAATAAAAATGAAAAAACAAAACCTCGACTCGAGTAATGAAGCTTTTAAAGTCCTATCCCATTTTTCAACGAACCGTTGTATATTATTTGGGTATATTTATTTATTTACATTAATCTACATTCAAATGTATTTCTAATATCGCCAAATTGTGCTCACCGTCATAGATTCTAAATCATTAAATTTTAAACTCTAGAATAAAAATATATGACATAGGTACTACCCAATTAGACACAACTACTAACTAACCAATTATACCTACTCTATTCAGATTAAGAACATACCAGGCGGCCATGATCAAAACCAGTCTTGCTAGGTAAATCTGGTTTGATCTTATTCTGAATAGACTAGACACAATAATACCTGATAAATTTAATAACCTAATATGTAAATTAAGATTATACTTATATTTATACTTAAACTATCGAGCGGGCGTGTACATGCAACTGTTGTAACTTGTAATACTCGACTAACAACTAGGAGCATGTACATCAAAAAAATAAAAATGAAAAAACAAAACCTCGACTCGAGTAATGAAGTTTTTAAAGTCCTATCCCATTTTTCAACGAACCGTTGTATATTATTTGGGTATATTTATTTATTTACATTATTCTACATTCAAATGTATTTCTAATATCGTCAAATAGTGCTCACCGTCATAGATTCTAAATCATTAAATTTTAAACTCTAGAATAAAAATATATGACATAGGTACTACCCAATTAGACACAACTACTAACTAACCAATTATATCTACTCTATTCAGATTAAGAACATACCAGGCGGCCATGATCAAAACCAGTCTTGCTAGGTAAATCTGGTTTGATCTTATTCTGAATAGACTAGACACAATAATACCTGAAAAATTTAATAACCTAATATGTAAATTAAGATTATACTTATATTTATACTTAAACTATCGAGCGGGCGTGTACATGCAACTGTTGTAACTTGTAATACTCGACTAACAACTAGGAGCATGTACATCAAAAAAATAAAAATGAAAAAACAAAACCTCGACTCGAGTAATGAAGTTTTTAAAGTCCTATCCCATTTTTCAACGAACCGTTGTATATTATTTGGGTATATTTATTTATTTACATTATTCTACATTCAAATGTATTTCTAATATCGTCAAATAGTGCTCACCGTCATTGATTCTAAATCATTAAATCTTAAACTCTTAAAATAACAGTCCATTGCCTCTTATTAAAAAAAAAATTAATAAATACTAGGTAAATATTTAAAATATAAATGTATATTACATCTTAAAAACTTAAATCTTAAATAAACACAGCTTAAATAACTGTTCACGAATAGACTAACTTATACCTAGTGTATAAAAGAAAAATGAACTAAGACTTATAAAATATAATTACAAATTTTTATTAGAATAAAAGAAAAATTGAAAATTAAATAAAAACGATTATAAAGGAAAATATAAAATAATATTTAAATTAAATAAAAGAGTTTGAGAATTTTTTTTTTTAATAAATAGCTAGCATTAAATTGATAAATTTCTTTTTCCCTAAACTTTCATAATAAACAAATGAAATAAATACTACTTTAGATGTTATGTTAAGCCTGTGATGATAAGGCTTGATCATATTTTGGGGCACACTGAATCCATAGAGATACCTACCCCTATTACAATCAAGAGAATTCAGCAGTCCTCAAAAAAAAAAAAAAAATTATAATGTATAAATGAACCATAAATAATGATGTGAAAAAATAGAGCTTAACAAAATATGCTACCAGCTGCGCGCGTCTCATAGTTCGCAGCCCGGGCTTTTGGCATTTAATCGCCACCACCGGGATGATGTTCAACGTGCGCAGGAGCGCGTTGGACGCCTCTTACGACCGGTCGCGCTCACCACCGTGGCCAGTATTCTTACTACCCCCAGCCACTGGGCAGTTTAATTAGAATAATCCACCATAATGAGTACACTCAAGTGTAACATTTATAATTATAAAATAAACTAACCTAATGTAGCCCATGAACATGGTAGCAGATGCATACGTCAGTGATACAATGTCACATGGGAAGTGGGGAATTGTACAACGACCTTGCATTTTTGTGAAACATAACTTAAGCTTTATCTATATATACAAATGTCAAATAATAATTTTCGAAACGTTTAGCTGAATAAATATGAATCATCAATCTTACAATTGAGTTAACTTTTAACATTAATAGTATATTATTATATTTTAAAACAATATTTGTATTAATTTTTATATTAAATTGAAGTTGTAACCCTTTCTTAAATCTTTACTCAATTTTATATTTAACTATGTCAAACAAATTTCGAAAATAATTTCAACATACATTTATACAATCTAAAAAAAAAAAATACAGTTAACAAAATCTCTATTCAAATTAATAATAAAATCTCTGTATGCACTGAAACAATACCCATTAACATCTCATCACTGTATTCCTCAATTTTTTTTTTAAAGTTTTCAGATTTTTTAAGGTGAAAGTTACATTGCTTAAAAATATTTAATTTTGTTACAGTCTTTGAAACTGAGATGTGAATTAGGTTCTTAATAAATAATTGTGCACAGAGTTCATACAACTTATTTACAATATTATACATAATATATAGTAAATAAACAAGAAATAATACTTGCAATATTGTACCGTGAAGTTATGAATCTGCTTGACTAATGCCATGATGACGATATTTTGTTTTCATTAGTTCCAAGTAGTTCAGCACAACTTGACCTATACAGTATTAGACATTCACAGGAGTGAGAGAGAATGACTAGAAGACACACTGTGACAGATTACAATGTTGTTGTTGTTTGCCCGAAATCGTATTATCTTCATAGTTCATAGGCTATTTTAGCGGCCAAAGTTGAATAGGCACACGCTCCATCCAAAAAATCATCCATTTCTTTGTACCTGAGACGCATATCCTGAGCGGCTTGATCCAGTTGTGCAGTTATCACATGATTCAGAGCCAATGCCGATGGCGCATGGTTAGTAGATTCGCTTTCATTATCATAAGCGGCTATTTCGGTCGCCATGTAGGTCGTACCGAGAGCGTAGGCGGGTATAGCCAACTTAGGATCAACGGTATCTTTGTTGTCATTTATGTTTTGAAGGAAAATAGTTGGAGGCCAAAACAGGCGGACATGAAGCTCAGTGCAGAACACGATATTCAACGGTGCGGGGCCTGGACTATTAGCACTCACATCCTCGATCCAGCGATAGTATTGATCGTCTTCTTGATCTTGTTTAAAGCGATGACATTGTTCATTTTTCGTTGTCGTTTGGCGTTGCTTTTCTGCTGCTGTAGCTGCAACACGTGAGTCAACGCACATGGTATCAACTGCAACACTTTTCACCGCTGAAAGCGAACTGTTATTAGTGCAGTAAATAACTGTAGCATCATCATTATCATCATCATCATCATCGCCACATTCATCATAATCAGCCCCACTTGTGCCATATTTCTCCACATTGTCTTCATACTGTCGTTCGTATGCAAAGTTGTCGTTTTGATTGTAGTTAAATTCTTCATGGTAAGAGGTATTTTCATCCTTCTGAAAGTTTTTATTTTTGAAACTGAGCCCACAGTTAAAGCTTTCATCACCGTCGTCATAACTTTCAAATCCACTTCCATTGTACTGACGTAATAGAGCACGGAAGTTACTGCGAAACCGGTCCAATTGTAACATTGGTGGTTTCGTTAATGGTAATAGAGAATCATCATTACCGTAACTCTGCTGCACCCACTCCGAGTACTGGATGCACTGAACATGAAGAGCACTCAGTCCGTAGTCCGATGCAACCGATGATCCTAGTCCACCACTTATACCACTATTGAGAGATGACCACGGCGAAGGTGGCAATAACAATGGTGAAGTAAAAAATGACGATAATCTAGGGTCTTGTTCCTTCTTACTGCCAATATCGTTTGAGATAGCGACAGTGGTGTTGATGCTACTATTAGTATCAGAATTATTGTCGTTATACAAATGTTCGTATAGTACAGCCAATGCTGTGGCATCAGGTACTGTTGCGTTAGGTGGAAGCTGTAGTAGCTCATTCACGTCGTTGTCATCGATGTCATTAATGCCTGGATTTCCCACTGCCACTACATTTTTTTCTCTGCGACCCAGAAACTCGGGTCGAAGTCGGGACTCAAACGCCACGGCTGTGGCAGTGTGTAGCCGACGAAGAGTTGCCCATGCATCTCGAAGTGACTGGATCTAAAATAAAGTACACACAAATAGTTAGTGGAGACTTCTTACTAAGATATTATTTATATATCGATTCAAAATATTAAATAATTTATAAATATATTTTGATGATTACCCTGTCAGAACATAGCGCGGACATGAGAGCCCGATAACCATAGACATCACCCACTGCCTGTTTGGCATCAGCTGCCGTACGAATCCACTTATCCAAGGCTGCTGCCCTGTGTCTAGTCAGTAGATCCAACCAGTGACGTTTTTCAACAGCCCATTCTTCCCTTGGTGGCAATGAATAACCAGAGTCAAAATCTGAATAAGCTGTTAGTTTGTAACTCTCGTCATCGTCATCAGAAGTGGAATTGTTATCGGAGACACACCAACTGCTGATACCGGCACATCTGTAATAGAACCGCCGACGGCGGTATTCGTATTCATCTTCCAAACTCCACTCGAGATTTTCTTTGTCGTTGATATCATTGCCAATTAGTAGCAGACAAGGTGTCACTATTACTGTCATTGCGACGAGGTACTGTAGACAAGCAAACCTAAATAGAACAACACCACGTATAAAATAATGTTGACAGTCAGATGCTGAATGGTTTCTCCCAGTTAAATAATGCATGACGTATTAAATAATAGTAACTCATTTAAACTATTTAATTTAATTTTATAAATATAGGTACGCCAAACGGCTTTTTACATATGTATAAACAAAAATAACAACTGATGGTTGGAACTTCTAGGTAATGCAGGTACAAGCCGGGTGTTATATGATACACTTAAATATCTCGAGTGAGAAACCACATACCCAGATACCCTAGGAATGGAATTTATACATTTTGTATTTTCTTTAAATAGGTTTTGACAAGGGAATATTGAAGGTAACTGAGAATAATAATAAAAGACAGACAGGTGGAGAAAGCTCGTACCTACGGGCGTAAAACTTTCAGACGAGAAGAAGAAGAAATATAAAATCTTGGTACTTAATACAAATAATTTTAGGCACATTGATAAATAATAAAAATACATAATAAGAAGAAACAAAGAATGAAAAAAAGATTTGATGACGGCGTATCGATAATTAATTTTTCTATAATTTTACAGAATTCGGTGTTGATGGTGGTGACATAAACATTGGATAAATATAACCAGATAATAATAATTTATGAAATATTATAATGAACAATAATATATTAATAAAAGAAAATAACCCACGCGGTCAACATAGGAAGATTAATCTGATATCTTAAATAGGTTAAGAAGAGCTTAGAAATTATAAATTAAACCACAAAAGTAACGTTAACATTAAAAAGTTTCATTCAAGTGTACCACCGGCCTTTCACAGAACATAACGGAAGCTAAAAATCGTCACGATTAATTAATAGGTTACTCAACTACAACAGAGACAGAATACCAAAGGTGTCAATCGAAGTGTGATTAGCCCCATGCATTAATTTATATTTTATGCCATGGTTTATTAAAGAATTTAAACATTTTGAAACACGTATTGTAGTTTTTGTGTGTTAATTAAATAAATATATTATTAAAATAAAAACATATTATTTTTTTAATGAAATTATAACATTAAATGCCATAGAAATTTAAAATTTGGTATTAATAGAATTCGTAATATTAATTAGTTAAAAAGTGATATTACCTAACAGTATTTATTTATATAATCTTATAAATACTAAAATGCAACTGAATTTCAAAAAATATTTGATAACGCATTTGGGGATCGAAGTCGGTGCCTTTTTTGGTACAAAAACATGCCTTACAGGAAAAACTGTAGAATAGTCAGATTTTGTTATTTTTTTTTTATTTAAAAGTAGAGAACAATTTGTAGGTTGGATCAAAGCCCGATTTTGAAAATTATAAATATAGAAGCTGGAATATGCATTTGAATAATGCACAATATTTGTTCTTTTTAAACGTATTTTTCTACTACTATTTAAAGTAAAATAATAATTCAAGCTTTGATCTGACCTCCAAAAACTTCTCATCTTTCAGATAAAAAAAAAAATTTACCTAAATCCGACATATTAAGGCGTGAACATTTTTCCTGTATAAGCATTTTTATTCATGAAAATAGTGCTTCGATAATAGTCATCAAAGTCAGTCTCTGACTTGTGCATGCGTGTGCGTAAATATCTTTATCTGCGAGTGTAATTTTAGCTCACTCACAATAATATCGATTTACATACTCACACACATGCACGTCCCGTGCGAGGTAGATACAACATGTGAATTGAATTGCCTAAATTTTACTCCTTAATAAATGACCGGCACCGACACCCTTAAGAGTATGTCACATCCGCATGTATTGTCTCCGTCTTAAAAATGTACAACATAACAAAAACTGTTTTGTGCGGGACTACATTTCTCGCACCATATTTGTTGTAGAACTACCAAATTTTCACAACACGTAAAGAAGAACTTTATCTGTGCAACATAATTTTTTAATAGCACCATCCAATCATTTTTTATAATCAAATGAAAAAAAAAAACCAAATGTTTAGAAGCAAATAACTTTTATTGTATTAATGTTATCTAAAATATGGGCAAAATGTTGCATAGATAATTTTCCACCCTATATGTTCAGAAATTTTGGAGTCACTATTACAAACATAGAAAGATAAAAGTTGTCCAAACAAATAACAGTTTTTGCTATGTTGTACATTTGTAAGACGGAGACAACACATCCAGGTGGGACATCCTCTTAAATAAAAACGAAATGACAAGCAAAGGATATTTTTGGACTTGCAGCTTGAAACCGTTATCAACATTTTACTACCAGTTACTGGTTTTTTAACCAGTCTTGTAGTTGGAGGAAATCAATAACCCATACTCTCCAGATTGCAGGTTACAGATAAAGCGATAACACATCCAAAAAATGTTAGGCATGGTAATAAAATTACATAAATAATAAAAAGTGGGTATCGCTTTGCTGTACATTGGGTGTCAAATGAGTTACTGTAATAGATCCGTTCAATTTGAATTCAATAATATAGAATTATTGTGTACAAAAAACGATTCTGAGCGAAGAAAATCTGGCAGCCTATATATTAGGCTTATATATTACTATAAGTAGTCTATAAGTATATTTTATTATATTATTGCTATTGAAGTATTTGAAGGAAATTGTATGTTCATATTAGTTAAACAGTAGGTTGAATTAATATTTGACTAGCATATTTAATTTGAAGTACTTTAAAAGATTCAAGTATCCATGAAAAACATTTTTAAATTAGAAAAAAATAAACAAAAACGATATTTTCCGAGTAAAATATAATATACAATTTCGTACAAATTTGAAAATAAAATATATATTTTAAAAAACTGTGTTTATATAATATTTATATTTTTTGGTTACAGTAAAAAATACTTATAAGAAATCTCGTTTTAAATCTTGAACCCTAATCTATAAAAATCGAATATTTAACTATAGAATAATTAGCAAATTTCCGTGATATTTATCATTTTTTTAAATTTTAAATGTGTATAAAAATAAATCTTGTCTATCTATCTATCTATAATATTTACAGAAAATAAATTTGAAATTTGAAAATGTATATAGTTAGCTCAAAAAAATTCGAAATATTTTGAAAACTTAATGGTTTATAGAAAATGATAATATAAATATTCAACAAAAAAATATTTATTTACGGTTAGTTTTTTTTATATAGTTGATATATTATATTTTTTATTCTAATAATATCTTTATAATTTTTAGAATCCAGAAATTTTTAGATAGCTAAATTACTGACTTGCAAATACAATTTACGAACGGTGAGACGGCAACTAATGATATTACGTTTATATCATACAATACCAAGAATACTGGAGTACTTGAGGAATCTTGTAGATTTTGATAATAATTTATTTACATTTTACACCTAAAAGATTCCGTATATTACATTTTTTATTTAATTTTAAGAAGTTTTAAAAAATATTAATTTCTGAATTAGGTATTATTTAACGTTAGTCGTATATTATAATTTGTTCAAGACGGAAATTCAGATTTCGAAGAACGCCTAGATTATGTGCTATAAGTGATTTAAAGCAATCTTAAAGTTTTTACGGAACTAAAATTGGACTAGCCTTAGTCTAAACATTTTGCAACAGCTGGAGCATTTAATGTTCAGAAAGTCATTGGCAGAGGGGTATGAACTAATATCTATTGAAAACCGTTCTTTAATAGTCGTTGTGGATATTAACACAAAAGCGCTATTAGTCAGTTATTAATTTTTATAATATTATTATATATTTATTATATTATAATTTTTATTATAGTATCATAATTTAGTAGTATAGTCCATAGTGGCAAGGCGTTTTTTTTTTAAATTTTATTTAATAATATCGATGACGAACGGAAAGTTTTAATTTTCATTTCTGACAATAGTTCGGGAGATAACCACCATAGCATTATAATAGCAGAACTAATAAACCGGGCGAGTTGCTTATCTATTATTTCCTTTGTCTATGGTCATTGGGATTTTAGCCATATTTTCATTATTTTAACATGTGCATGCGCTTGTTAGAACTGATACTGGTCACGGGAGTCGATTATAGTGCACGTTTCATCTTTCATAGCAACTGCGACTCGTCGATAACACGCTTTGTGGCGGGTTTGTCTCAAACTGGGGGTTTTCAAACTAAGATCGAAAAAATGTGTAATACATTCGATATCAATGATAACTCATCAATTTTAAATTTACCACGCATTATTACTCACTAGTTTTAGAAACCCTGGAAAAACACCACGAGGCGCGTTAGCGTCGAGTCACAGTTGTTATGAAAAGTAATATAATTCACTTTTACTTTGCATACATTAAGGATAATAGTTTGTTTTTATAACCTTCCTTAGAAAATAACTGGAAAAAACCACCTTGCATCATACAAACTATTAAAAATGTACCTTTCTATGACATCAAGACGAGCTCGCCGTCCCGCTGGTCCTGGTTGTCCCAAAAGTTGAAGCGGACACGTACTCAAAAGTGGTCCAACTTGTTCACTATTAGTAAAATTCCGTCGATATGGTAGTACGGTGACCCGGCCATCAGCACGACACAATGCGGCTGCTAGTCTGCCCGTACCCACTGATGCTCCACTGGTGTCGTCAGGATCACCAATTATCGCCAGGTGGACGGCCCGCAAGGCGGCAGCAACTGCTGTACTACCTCCATTAAAATCATTAACTTGTTGCTGCCGTTTTGCACCATTTTTTTTACCTATATTTTGGTAATTAAAATCATTGGTATCATCAGTGTTGTGAGAAATAATATTTTCATAATCAGCTCCCACTTCGATGTTGTCATCAACAAAACTATTGTAGGTATGGCTTTGTCGTTTGCTGCCTTGGTGTTTATAATTTTTGTGATGGATCCTGTCAAGATTGTTGGTGTTGAGATGTTGGGTATCACTTTTGTCGAATGAATTGTTATGGTTGGGATTCGAGGGTTGATGTTTTACGTAATCGCAAGCCAGCTTGTACCCAATACTGCCGACACCAACAGAACAAGTACCTATTTCTTGGCCGGATATGTCGGTACTGGACTCGACGACGACGGTTGTATTCGATTGGTCGGCTTTGGTTACGGGGGCGCCTTCGCCTTCCTGGATGACTCGAAATTGGGTTTCTCCCGGTGGAATCACGTGTTCTCTGAGGCACTTCCCTGCCGACGGAAGGTCGCCCCCCGTCGGCAGCTGGTGGTTTTCCGAAATCAAAAGTCTATTAAAGAACTCCAAATGCCGCTCTATAACGGCCAACCGAAGTCGAGTGCTTCTTTCCTCGATGTTAAGTGTTCGTAAACTATAATGTTGCCTAATTCTGTCTCCATCCAAGTTCCGATTTACAAGCCTAGTAGAACTCCTAGTGTCAGCAGTTTGAGCTGGAGAATCTGTGGCTACCTGGTCTGTGCGATTAGTTAACGTTGCTAGTTGTCTGGTTTCTGTATCTGGAATACTTCTATGTAGTTCTGTATCCATACTCTCTGTCGTATGACCAACCTCCTGGTCTTCATTTGGCGTCTGTTGGATATGCCGCGAACTTCGTTGTCGGGGATCACAGTCTTGTGTCTCCGTAGTTTGAGTCAGTTGTCGATTCTGGTTATTCAGCCGTGGCTGTTCCAGCATGTCAACTAACCCTTGACGCATTGTGTTAGTCCAACGAGTGCGGCATTTCCGAAAATTTTGATTTTCAGGTGCTTCCGATGAGTTTTCTACCTTGGAATCGGATTCCAAAGTTTTCTGCTCATCACTTTGTTTTTGATCTACTTTTTTATCAACATAACCTTCAAGACGTGTATGCTCTTCTTCTACACTTTTATGCCTCACCTTCACATTTTTCATCGGATTCTCAACCTCTTGGACCTCCTCATCCTGGGTATCCCTTCGGCTATTTAATATCTGCCTGCCTGTGAATTGGGGTTCATTTTGTTGTGGTTGCTCTACAGCGCTTTCTACTTTCTGACGATCGACTAACTGTACGTTTCCACCTCTATTATGCTCTAGCTCTTCATCCTTCAATGTGAATTGGGGTTCATTTTGTTGGGATTGCTCTACAGCACTTTCTTCTTTCTGACGATCGACTAACTGTCCGTTTCCACCTCTATTATGCTCTAGCTCTTCATCCTTCAATGTGAATTGGGCTTCATTTTGTTGAGGTTGCTCTACAGCGCTTTCTTCTTTCTGACGATCGACTAACTGTCCGTTTCCACCTATATTATGCTCTAGCTCTTCATCCTTCAACGTGGATGTTGAAATGTAGGAGGAATCGGAAGATGATGCTCGCTGTACCCCTTGCTCCCTCGTCATCGTTCATTTTCTGAGGAACTCGATGTATTCTTGCTTTTAGTAAAGAACTCGGCGTCTTTTGGGCCGAATCCGACGGCTTGCTTGACATACTCTTGGGGTCATCGTAACTACCAGACCTATCGGGTCTTGAATACTTATGAGGTCGCATCGACCGTGTTCAGCATACTCCGAAAGCCATTGCGGTACCCTGTAGTCGAAAAATGATGACCCTTATTGCTTCCCCAAAGGGCAAGGAAAAAATAAATCAACAGCACTCTCATTGAACCTTTCTCTCTGACTAGCAAGATGGTACCCCAGGGGAATCTATATTGAGGCCGGGTGTTGGTGCACCTTCATTCGTGCCCATCGTCAGTAATAACTGAAAACACTGTAACCGTGGATTCATCTAAATTCACGATTTAATAAATTAGTCCTTGATTTACTCCGTGAGAGCCGTGATGAATCCGTCGAAGATGACGGTGATGATAATAAATCAGAGATTGTCAAATGTGGAGTACTTCCCGATGGCATACCTGGATATGATGGCATACGTCGTAGTGAAAAACTTGATTGGTCCGAATTTGATTTTGACCCAGACGTTGAAGGACGGTCATATGATAATAATGATGAAGATCCAGAGGTTGAAGGAAGTGGATAAGATGATTTTGGTTGGTGTGGTAGAGTTTTAATTGACGGATCTGGTGATCCTGAAGTGGATCCAGTGATTGATGATTGTGGATCGATTCTTGGGGGGCAAGGAGATAATGTCAATGGCTGTAACTGAGTTTGATTTGCTGATCCTGCTGCTGAAGGAGGCTTCAAAGACGTATCTGATGTAACCATTGTGGAAGTTACGGTTGCTGAAGGAGTTCTTCGGACTGACGACCTAGATGAAGACTGCACGCGCATCCATTTTGAAATTTGAGGAGGTGGCGATGGCGAATGACGTCGATGGTTTGTATTTTGAGCTGATGTTGACGCTTCTGTTTCCCCACCAGGAGAAGTGGATAATTCCCGTAGTCCTTCAGTGCGGGTGGATGCCGTTGTCGCACGTTGTCGCACCAACCGAGAATTTTCCATCGTACTCGGGAGAATATTTGGAGATGCATCTTCGGCCAATGATTTGTCAGTCATCAGTGGACGACGCCTGTTGCATGGATACCGAATTCGTACCTCCGTTTGAGCTGTTCGAGAAAGTGTCATACTACCACTTACAACTCCATCGTTTCCACCTCTATAAGAAAGAACAGCATTGTCATCAGCACCACCAACATAGTACCTGATGAGGTCAGGCACACTATCAAATCCTGGTTGACATTGTCGTTGGTCGTTAATAAGCCCATCGTTGTTATTTGCAACAGCAGTTGAAATAGCTGTAGTCATTGAGGGTAAGGTTTCCCCAAAACTGAACTGCGATCGCTCATATACTGTTCCGGGTTGTAGGATTATCTATAATTAGAGGAACGATAACAAAACTATTTATATATAACATTAAAATAATATGAATTAAGCTTGAAATATTATACAATTATTTATTAGTATGGCCATCCCAAAGAGTTAGATTTCAAATTTGTATAATAGAGTTCAGTTAACTACAAAATGCATATCAGATTAGGAAAATTAGTGAAATTAAAAATAATTTGTTTAAATCAATGTTGTAAAGCCCAAGCAAACTAATCTATGTCAAACTTTTACAATGATGTATTTTTCTTATTGTTTCATTTTTAAAAATCTTATTTAATAAAATAACTAATCAAAAAGTGCAATAGCCAAACATTATACATAACTAATTATTAGGACAATAAAGAGCGAGTTGTTGGATGTATTTTATAGTTTCTTTAAAAATGTAAATTTGACTACCATTGAACATTTTTGGAGGAATTTATAGAATTTGTTTTTGAGTATAATGCAATTTATTGTTCAACTATGGCACAGAAATTCTTAGGACAGAACTGTTTTGATTATGATAGACAATTTATTATTGTTTTAGTTCACTTTTATTTGCATAATATTCTCTATAGAGCTTAACTATTTTATTTCTATCCGTCATTGTTTTGAATTAGGTAAATTCAACGAAAAGGGTAGTTTATTTCTTCAAATTCGATGAGATAATGTCATAATAAGTCCAGATATGTGAATTGATATAAAAGTAAAATACCATGAATACACATTCTATCATGATTTTTCTTATTTTGTTTCACCAATTAAGTGATGTCAACATTTTTTAAAATTTGAATCGAATATTTCAACAATTTAATAAACTTGACTGAGTAAAAAAAAATTAAAGGAGACTAATTACTGTTGTCTTGATAATCTTTATAAAATAAATTTATTTATTTATTTATTTATTTATTTATTTAACGCCAAACGGCAATTTAGATAAAAAAAATTATCAGTCATTTAAAAAAAATAGTAAGTAATTCTTCAGTGTTATACTGCCTTGCAAATTTTATTCCAGAATCAAAAAAAATAATCAGAAAAAAATCACTACATAAATAATAAATTAAGTATAACATGTGTCGTCACATACCTCATTCACGACAAAATGCAACACAGGATGTCGGTGTTGCCTTCGCTGTCTCCTTTGTTGTTTTCTCTGAAACTTACGTCGCTGATCATCATCATGATAGCGTTGGGATATGTTTTTGTCCCCGGTCTCAAGATCTTCGTACTTGTCAACACGCAAACACGACACGACGTATCTGCCCGGTGGCCTAACATTCAGACTGTCTCGAACTAAGAAACAATAGAAATGCCGCCGGGGTCGGTGTGGTCGCTTTGGCCTTTTCAACGGCAACACACCGTCAATGCGGCGGCGAGTGGCCAAGGATGGATCCGGTACCATGTCACGTTTGTCTATGCAGTCATCAATAGAGAAATCCGAGTCACTGCTATCACTGCTGACGTCATAAATCCCATCCAAATCACTGGTGGCTTCTTCGACATGATGTTGTAATGATGAAGAGCCTTTAGTAGTGGCAGTAGCAGTAACATTGTTTGAAGGGGTAATCGTGTCATTTGTAGTGATTATAGTAGCAGTAGCAGAACCATGCTCTTCAGCGACGCACTGACGTAATAACCGCTCAGCCTCGGTTCGATCTACCTGTTGACCATGGTACCAGGCATGTGATCGCAAGTCATCCGCTTCCAATGCTGACAGCTCCCATTCCAAAAGTTTTTTCATTTTTTCGGCTTCTACATCAGCAGTGGCTGAGTCGGCATTCAATGGTGAAGATACACGCTGTGATGGCGGTAGTTGATGTTGCTGTTTAAGCAAGGGTGGTGGTTGATTTTGTTTGCTTGATGGTGGTGATTCGTATGGCTGTGAAGTTCCAGACTCCATAGATGACATTCTTGCAACACGATTTAGAGAAGGCTGCTTAATAATTCGACGCTGGTGATAAGTAAAGTTGTCGTTGTTTTCGCCATTTTCAGCATCTTCCTATTTTATTGTAAAAAGGTAAAATAAAATTAATACATTAATAACAATGAGTTAAAAATTTTTTTTTTGGTTAAATTGAGTACTTTTCATTTAACATACTTTTAGGCATTAATATAGTTATGAAATAAGACCTACTGCAAATAGATCTGAATTTGCACTAATTTTGATTTACAACGAATTAACCAACTTTTTATTTATTTATATCAATTCTACAAAATGAATAAGTACTTATAACTTTAGAAATTTTATGAATCAAGTGAAGAGAATACAATTTAAAAAATTTAAAAACAGTTCTTAAGTAACATGAGAAATATAGATCTATTTTCAGAAATGTTATCGCTTTATTAGTTTGATCGTTTCAATAGACAATAGATGGGTATATTTTTTTATGACTTGTGGTCGTTACTTGTAATGAATATTTTTATTGGTAACATTAATAAAAAAAGTTATAAAAGTTACAAAAAGTTGCTATCAAATTTTGTGTCTTACATGTCTATATATAGTACGGAAATCTTTGAAAAAGTTTAATCTTGTTTAATTTGAAACTGTAATTAAAAACTAAATAATAAGAATTTTATCAAACCATAATTGTAATTTGTAACTACATCTGGCCATTTGTATTATACCATATTATTATTAAACAAAAATCTATTGACCAATAAGGTAATAATATACACCTTATGTGCCAAGCTATAGCTGAAGTATCAAAATAATCTGCTGATAATTTGAAAAAACACCTTAAGGTATTTTGCATTTTTGTATTTTATTGTTTTATTTTTACATACATATTATACTATACTATAATAATACATTTTTGAATAGTTACTAACTACCAACTTTTGTTTTAATTTATAAATATTTTTCACGATTTATGGTTTTATCAATAAATAGTGAAACGGTGCATACTCCTTTCTATAATTTGTTTTTGAGTTCCACTTTTAATTCTAGACGTTCAAGAGTAAAAATTAGATTCATTTTAAGACCAGAAAAGATACTAAAGCTAAAAATCAAAACATTCTTTCTACTATAAGAAAAGGTTTACACATAGAAACGCACACATCATCAGTGATTTGCTGTTCAGAACTCAAAATCACAATATACCTAGATGGAATTCTAAAAAATATAATTCCAATTTAAACTTTTGATTAAATTGATTTTTAAAGAAAGAGAATCATTGAAATCCAATTTGAAGAGATAAATTAATATTCATTAGAACAAAAGTTAAGTTTACATTTTTCTTCCTGATCCTCCACACAAGAGCATTGCAATAAATATATTTAAAAATAATATTTGTAAGATTTTAGTATATATATCTGATGTTACTATTTTGGTAATTCTTAAGAACTAGTTATATTTTTATTTCCAGGAATAATATATTGAAGTGTTTTAATATTTAGCAAGACTTGGATTTATTACAAAACGATATACATTAGTAATGGCGTTGGACATTGATTCTATCAATTAAGCAGGCAAAGCAATTAAAATAAGGATAGCAACTAGATTTTCATCAATATTGAAAGATAAAAATATTTGAAAGGTTAGATGTTTTTAATCTAAGTTCAATTATACCAAATGTATAATGTTAACTATGATAACTAGTTTTTAACATTTAATGTAGGAGTATTGTATAAAATGAAATAGTTTACAATCAATTTTGTATTCATTATAAAAGTATAAATTGATAAAATTACTGAAATTAAAATATATTTAATAAATATGGAACACGAAAAATAGAAGTAAGAAAAACAATAAAAATTAGTATAATATAAATTAAATTTACTAACTTTTACTTGTTTTAGGTTTAGAATAGCTTGGATATAGGATGATGATATAGGAAATGTATAGAATGTTAGAGGAAGAAACGTTAACAACTTACATAACAAAAAAAAACTGTATTGGCTAATAAAGATAAGATAAATTTAGAAACAAATTAATTTGATCATGGATTTTTTACATGTTTGGATACTAACTAATAACATTGAATCGATTGATAAGAATATTTACTATGATAATTTTAGACTGTCAAAAATTTTAATTTAACTTTATTATTTTAGACTTTCAGGAGTTTATGATTTATTATTGAAGGATTGAAAATATCCATTGATATATTCTATAAATATCCTACAATAAAACAAACATTTATGGAAATAAATAAAAATTCACCATCTGGTGATGTATATGATTAAACAAGATTATATGACTGGCTAACTTTTTGAACATTAAATTGTTATTCAAGTGTCACAAATTATTTATTATGTAAACTAATTTTTCAATAATTGAGGGATGGAAATCCAAAATGCACTATTGGCAAAATTGACAAAGTTGAGTTAGGTATTGATTCTTATGAAAAAATATTGATACATCAATTGGCGTCGTCAGAATAAATCAAAATGTACAATTTCCTGATCAAATCTGCGATTCAAAATGACTGGTTAATCCAAAACGAACCTTTTCCATACATAAAAATTATATTTAGAAAATCAAAACGTACTTTTTAAAGTTTTACACCAAAATACACTATTTTCCATGTTAAAAGGAATAGAAACAAATCATTAACTACCTCAAAACAAACTATTTCCAAAACGTACTATTTTTTATGTTATGCCAAAACATACTTTTACCAGTGTGTTTACCTATATGTAGGTTAGTAAAAATGTTATTCCAAAACGTACTAAAATTTAATTTTAAAAATTGTAATTAAGTTTTAAATTAAATTAAAAATATAACTCTAGAATATTTAACACATTATAATCATTTTAAATATAAATAATATATTATTAAATAATTAAAAAAAAACCCTTTTTTTCAAATTGATTTGTCTTGTTGTAAATTGTTCGTTTTTATTGGAAATGTTAAGATACAGAATATTGCTTCTCCTGGAAAATTAGTATTTTTGCAATAGTACATTTTGGATTTCCACCCCTCAATTTATTTAATAAAATAATGAAATATTAATTGTCTTTCTTCTTTTTGTATTGATTGTATATTGATATATTTATATTGATTAAAGTTGCTCTGGTGTCAAAGACTATGGTATATTATTTATCCCACCAAAAACATATATGTAAAATGAGGGCCAAGTTCAATACTATAATATATGCCTTGGTTGTTGACTTCAGCGACAAAAGAAGTGAGATCTAAATGGGTGCCAAGTTAGGAAAATATATTGAAGCCTAAGGTGTGACTATTGGCTACTTTTCATATACGAATTATTATTATAAGTACCTACTAAAACAGTAATGGAAGAGTGAAGATGATTTTCCGAAGAATAAAATAAGAACTCAAAGCTTTAGAACTTGCAAATGCTATAATATATAATTCGTAGCCAAGTCAGACCTTAGGCTTCAATATATTATCCTAACTTGGCACCCATTTAGATCTCACTTCTTTTGTCGCTGAAGTCAACAACCAAGGCATATATTATAGTATTGAACTTGGCCCTCATTTTACATATATGTTTTTGGTGGGATATCATTACTTTTTGTATGTAAATTATTGTAACCTAACCTAACCTAGCCATGACGTATTCTATAAATAAAGTTTATTACTATATAATATAATTCAGTTACTAATATTAATAATAATATTTATTATAAAATATTTTCCATTGTATATACAGAGTATAAAATATATGTAAAATTAATATACAATTATTTTAACTCTTTTTGAGTATATTTTTAATTATCAAAATTTTATTGACTGTAGTTTCTACTGTTGGGTGGATAATTCATAATTTGTAAGAATAATTATTTAATTATTTTAATTGTAATATTTAAAAAAAATAATATTAATTACATACATAGATAGAAAAAAAAGTATGTTGCTGCGCGCGGGTCGACAATATCGACACATATTCGGCTAGTCGTATTTTTGGAGCGGCGATACGGGAAAGGTTATTTAAGTCATCATTACATTACATTTCATTAAATTAGAGGCAATTCATTAATAAATTGAAAAATTAAACATAATAGATAAAATAATTGCAAAATTATAATAAAATCAATTGATTAAAAAATTTAAAATTAAAAATTAAAAAATTTTAAATTAAAAATTTTCAAGTTTCTGATTTTTTCCTTTGTATTTACCTAACTACCTATCTGTATGCCAAATTTGAACTTTCTAGGTCATCTGGAACTGGGTTAGAATTTTGATCTATAGGTAAGTCAGTGATAAAAATGACGATTTTCGGACGTTAATATCTAAATAACGGTTTGAAGTGTGTTTATGAAATTTAGAGCCCATATGTATCTCGTTAGTCTCAATATATGAGCCAAATTTGACATGTTTATGTGGAATAGTTTTTGAGTTATGAGGGGGTCAAAAGTGGCTCCAAATGGTTCGTGTAATATTACACACGGTGCTGCTCGCCAGTTCTGTTAGCTAGAACTTGGCTTGACACGCTACCGCGTGTCTAGATAGAATATACTGTACTCTAGGCTTCCTTATAAATTATATCGATTCCTTTGATTTGGACGAGTCGCTGCGGATGTCTTTATGAATATTAATACTGACATTTAGCTAATTTGTGACATGGTCAACTGTTCCTTTTTATAATTATAAAGGATTACAATGTATGCATTGTGCGAGGTTAAGGCTATTATTCAAATGGTAATATAATCTATTATTCCTAGTGTTTGAAAATTTCATGAAATATTCCGTGAAATATTTCAAAATATGTGAAATATTTCAGTATTTTAATATATTTTGTTTTATTTTTAAATAAGTTTTAAATTTACATATAATTGTCATAAATTACCTTCATCACTATATGGTACCTGTATACTTACTGAATTCTGACATTAAAATTTAGAACACTGAACATTGTGTTAAAAAAATGAATAAATTGTGTTTTTATTTGTGTTAAAAAAATTTCAATGTTTCACGTTTTTGTGAAATATTTCATTTGAAATATTTCTCATACATCAAACACTAATTATTCCTTATGAATGATCGATAGTACTAATTCAGAGAATTAGTATATAGTAATATATTCTATTATT